TTCTATACACCAATAATGAAGTGCAGAAAAAGAAATCAAGGAATTGATCCCATTTGCAGTTGCACTAAAAACCATAAGATAGATACCTAGGAATAAACCTAACCAAAGAGGTAAGAGATCTGTACTCTGACAACTATAGAATACTTATGAAAGAAATTGAAGAGGACACAAAGAAATGTGAAAAAATTCCATGCTCATGGATTAGAAGAACAAACATTGTTAAAATGTGGACACTACCCAAAGCAATCTACATATTTAATGCAGTTTGTATCAAAATACCACTAACATTTTTCACAGAGCTAGAACAAACAATCCTAAAATTTGTATGAAACCACAAAAGAACCCAAATAGTCAAAGCAATCTTGAGAAAGAAAGACAAAGATGGAGGCCTCACAATTCCAGACTTTAAGCTATATTACAAAGATGTAGTCATCAAGACAGTATGGTACTGGCACAAAAACAGACATGTAGATCAGTTGAACAGAATAGAAAATCCAGAAATGGACCCACAACTATATGGTCAATTAGTCTTCAACAAAGCAGGAAAGAATATTCAATGGAAAAAAGACAGACCCTTCAACAAATGGTGTTGGGAAAACTGAACAGCAACATACAGAAGAATGAAACTGGACCATTTCTTACACCATACACAAAATAAATTAAAAATGGATGAAAGACCTAAATGTGAAACAGTAAACCATCAAAATCCTAGAGAAGAATATAGGCAGCAACCTCTTTGACCTTGGCTGTAGCAACTTCCTACTAGACATGTCACTGGAGGCAAGGGAAACAAAAGCAAAAAGGAACCATTGGGACATCATCAAGATAAAAACCTTCTGCACAGTGAAGGAAACAATCTACAAAACTAAAAAGCAACTGATGGGATGGGAGAAGATATTTGCAAATAACATATTAGATAAAAGGTTAGTATCCAAAATCTATAAAGAACTTATCAAACTCAACACCCCCCCCAAAACAAATAATCCAGTGAAGAAATGGGCAAAAGACATGAATAGACATTTTTCCAAAGAAGACATCCATATGGCTAACAGACACATGAAAAGATGCTCAACATCACTCATCATCAGGGAAATACAAATCAAAACCACAATGAGATACCACCTCATATCTGTCAGAATGGGTGAAATTAACAACATAGGAAACAACAGATTTTGGTGAGGATGCAAAAAAAGGGGGAACCCTTTTACACTGTTGGGAATGCAAACTGGTGTAGCCATTGTGGAAAAACAGTATGGAGGTTCCTCAAAAAGTTAAAAATAGAACTACTCTGTGATCCAGCAATGGCACTACTAGGTATTTACCCAAAGGATACAAAAGTACAGATTCAAATGGATACAAAAGTACAGATTGGGCTACATGCACCCTGATGTTTATAGCAGCATTATCAACAATAGCCAAACTATGGCAAGAGCCCAAGTGTCTACTGTCTGAATATGTGGTATGTGTACACACACACACACACACACACACGTATATATGTATGTACACACACATATATGTATATATGTAATGGAATATCACTCAGCCATCAAAAAGAATGAAAGCTTGCCATTTACAACAACGTGGATGGAGCTAGAGTGTATTATGCTAAGCGAAATACGTCAGTCAGAGAAAGACAAATACCATATGATTTCACTCATACGTGGAATTTAGGAAACAAAACAAATGAGCATATGGGAAAGGGAAAAAAAGAGAAAAAGAGGGAAGCAAACCATAAGAGACTCAAAGACAGAAATGCTGAAGTGTTGGAGGGAAGTGGGTGGGGGGATGGGCTATATGGGCAATGATCATTAAGGAGGGCACTTGTGATGAGCACTGGGTGTTACATGTAAGTGATGAATCACTAAATTCTATTCCTGAAACCAATATTACACTATATGTTAGCTAACAAGAATTCAAATAAAAATTTGGGAAAAAAACACCAAAAAGCAAAAACCAAACCAAAGCACACACAAAGAAACAAAGAATTTTATATTAATTACATGTTGCCATGATAATGTTTTTGATACACTGGGTTAAATAAATTATATTAGATTATTTTCACCTGTTTTTTTCTACTTTTTAACATGGCTACTAGAAAAAATTTTAAAATGTTTATGTGGCTCACATATTTCTATTCAACAGCCCTGCTGTAGAGCTACCTGCCCATGCCTAAGATATAATAGCTGAGCAGAAATAGAGTTTAGTATTCCTGGGTAGAACCTTATCACTAGTCTGGCACAGTGGTTAGCAGTATGGGACCTGGGTGTGGGTTCTCACTTGGCCATATGTAAGCCAGGTGACCATCTGCATCTCTCAGCCTCAGTATCCTCATCTGAAAATGGGTTGAACGATAGTGCCAAGTTACTAGTAGTGTGCCTTTTGGGAACAGAAAGTCTTCTCTCTGTGTCTCTGTTGTATCTTGAACAGTAGCTACAGAGGGAGGAACTCTTCCCAGAGATCAAATGGCTGGAATATAAGAGGTTATCAGCAGACAGCAGGTTGAGGTGAGTCTCAAAGCTTGGAAAAGAGTCCTGAGGTTTAGGGGGACCACTGTCCTGTTCCTCTCCTTTTTCAAAAGCACAGGTTACATTATGGGTCACTGAGTAAAAAAATGTTCCCAGTCTCCTGGATAATCTTTCACTAGACAGAGTCCATATAAAGATGTAATTTCTCTTTCAATCCTTTGGATCATCTTCATTCATTCATTCATGCATTCATTTGCTCATTTATGATTTATTCACTTGCATGTCATGAGAATGATATTTTGGAAATATTTTCAAATGGATTTTTACATCCCTTTACTCTTATTGTGTAGAAGCTTTGGAACTGTCAGGAACACGAATGCTTTCTCAGCTTTGGCTGTCAAATTAGATATTTTGTTTGAGTTTGTGTAAGCCTATTGTCTTACTAAGGCAAGACAATTCATTCATTCATTCGTTCACTCATCAGATATTAATTCAGTTCCTATTATGTATATGCCACTTCTTCAGATACTGAAGATAAAGCAGTAAAATTCAAGCATCACTGAGAGAAAAAGGGTTTTTAAAATATTTTTTTAGAACTCTCTTTTTCATGTACCAGCTAGGCCTGGTAGACTTGACCCTAGATTTTTTTTTTTTTTTTTTTTTTTTTTTTTTTTTTTTTTTTTTTATGTAAAGGAGGTCTTGGATTGAGAGAAAGAGGAAGGGGAGAAAGGCCTGCATTTTCCAGTTCTAGAAAATTATGGGAGAAAGAATGTATCAGAAATAGGGTGAAAATAAGACATCAGAGTCCTCACTTAATTCTCAGCCCAGGAGCCAAGTCTCAAGAGGTTGCAGAGGGTTGCTTTAGAAATACCCAAATAATCATGGGGAAGCCCGGAGACACTGAGGCTAGTGGTGGCCTCCATTGGGTATAGTATGGGGGGGCTGTCTGCAGCCCCCTGGGACAACATCAGTCTTTGACTCAGAGTTCTATTCAGGCTGGTAAAAATACAGCAGTGGGAGGCGGGTAGGTAGGTGAGCCTGCCATAGTGCTCTGGGTTTCCTGTAGCTTGTTTACGGAGTGTGAAGGACCTGGAAGTGTCCATGCACTCAGATGAGGTGTGGAGGTGGCTGAAGTCAGTGGACTGACAGACCTTGGAGGTCAGAGAGCAGAGGTAGAGATTTCAAGATCAAATGAAAATATGGGGGGACCCATGGACTCCAGAGGTAGATGTCTAAACTAGATGGATTGTTGCATCCCAGTAGGGGCCAGTTCAGAGAGAAGCCCAGACTAGCCATCATACAGGGGAGATAGGCAGAGGACTCAGAAGGATTCCAGGAGCAGCCCTCACCAAGGCCTGTTTACTTCCCAGGATCTTGAAGTTCCCTGCCCCCATGTATCCAGATTCCATCCTGGAGAAAAGCTGGCGAAATGGAAATATGAGAAACTGAACATTTCACCTTCAAGGACTATTTAAAGTATAACAGTGGGTTATATTTACCCAGCTGGACTAAAGTTTAGTGTTATTTATGCTCCTGCTACACAGTAGGTGAGGCTAGGGAAGCAAGATTAGATCAATTACAAAACATAAACAACAAATATTTTTGGCATGTAGAAGCTTTGTGGGAGAAAATTCACATCCCCACTCCACAAATCCATTCATTCTTCCATTCAACATACATGTATGGACAGCCTACTCTTGGACCAGCACTTAGCTAGGCTCTCTGAGGCATGCAGGGGCTATTGAAAAAGATAGGCCTATGAACCAATAACTGGAGTGTAGTATGTTAAGTGCTGTGATAGAGGTATGAATGAAGAAAGCACTATGAAAATGGAGAGAGGTGAGTAAATTCTCCTGGAGAGTTTGCAGAGAATGTGGTAGATGTAGTAACATTTGAGGTTCTTAACAAAAATCTGAATTCTCCGAATGAAAACATGTGGACACAGTGATTCAGGTAGAAGAAAGCCTACATGCAAAGGCCTTGAGGTCTGAGAGGACAGGGAACATTCTGGTGACTGCAAGAAATTAACCATTCCATGTGGTGGGAACAAAGACTATGTGCAGAGGAGCACGGGAGGTGAGGCTGGAAAGGCAGATCTGGGGCTGAAGACCACAGATCCTGTGAAGCAGAACAGTGTAGTTATCCTACGTGCATTCCATAGTCCTTACAGTTCATTTCTCACTGTGTTCCACAAACATGAAGTAGGCAAGAACAATAGCAAGTGTCCATATTACGTTTATTTTAATTGGACTTTATCTTATAAGGGAGACACATTGGGTTTCACAACCTCCTAGAGATGGTGCTGCCAAAAAGACTGGCAAAGAAAATTCAACAAATATCAACCCTTGAATTATATGCTGGATCTGATTTAGAGGACTTTTCTTCGTAGCTGTACAGAAGAGAGCATTTACTCCGTAGAAGAAAACCCTCACTGTACTGCCCCACCCGGTAGGTATTACCTTGGGCTACCCAAAAGCATAGGGAGAGAGCTGGTGGGCAGTAGGAAAGAAGATGAACATGCATCTCACTCACCTGAACTTTGATTTGGAAATCCGATGGCTGAAAGAGAAAAAGCAGATGTTACAAAATGACACATATGCATATTCTTCCATTTAAATTTTTTTTCAACGTTTTTTAATTTATTTTTGGGACAGAGAGACACAGAGCATGAACGGGGGAGGGGCAGAGAGAGAGGGAGACACAGAATCGGAAACAGGCTCCAGACTCCGAGCCATCAGCCCAGAGCCTGACGCTGGGCTCGAACTCACGGACCGCGAGATCGTGACCTGGCTGAAGTCGGACGCTTAACCGACTGCGCCACCCAGGTGCCCCATCTTCCATTTAAAAGATATTCAACAATTCTAGAGAAGTTTGATGTCCCTGCATGACTATAAATGGGCACTGGATGGATGTGTGGAGTGAAGTAGAACAACTCTGAAGAGTCAAAACCCTATTTGTCAACATCTCCTGGCACGTTTGTGTGTATGAATGTGAAAACCAATGACTGACAAGTCTACAAATCCAGTATTTTCTAAGTGGAAGCAACACTCTCTGGAGAGTCTCTGGAGGCGCCATGTGGCAAACAGCATCTGCTCAGCAGGTCCCATGAAGTTAGGTTAGGCTGTGTGTAGGGAATGCTGCACCTTGATGAGAGCCATGGAGTACAGGAAGGTCTCTCTGCAGATGTGAAAGTCTCACCAGTTGGAAACCAGAGGCAGGAGCACGTCATCACAGACCCCACTGCTGTCTGAACAGGATCCCAGCCAATGCTGGGGTATGAAGTGAAGATAAGCAATAGAAGCCAGCTGGGAACTGAAAGGCCATTACAATCCTGGCCTGAGGGCTGCGGCTGGGCCTAAAGGAACAGCCATAGGTCCTGTCAGAAGCTCAGGAAACTGACAGTTATGTGCAGCCTTAAAGACATGGGGAACTTTCAGGTGAAAGCATAGGGCAGGTGTGACTCAAAGGGTCATTGAATGGGGAAGGAGGAATCTTCAAGGAGGCCCTGAGGCTACCAAGTTCATATAGGAGAGTCCACAGGAGACTAGGAGGAGGAAGGCTGGGAGAAGGGAGGAAGGAGAGAGGGGAGAAAGAGGGAAGAAGGGGTGGGGGCAGGGAATGTAAGCATTTGAGACAAAACAATTGAAGGCAATGTATCAGAAAAGCCTTTGGTGTTAAGGGAGTAAGGTGGAGAGATTGTAGGTGGAGCAACCATGCTCAGATGGATACCCTGATGGATGCAGAATGTAAGTTGGGGAGGAAGAAAGTGACAGAGACATTGGTAGGGAGACAAAGACAGATGCAGAGAGAAAACATGAGCAGGGAGTTCAGGAGGCAACTGCTGCAAGCCTGTGTTGTCCTAGCTCAGCACAAAGCAAGCTGTGTCACATAGCAAGAAAACAACCCCTCTCATTATTTTTTATTAAAAAAAAATTAACAGAAGATGTGACAGGTGGCAAAGCCATCGTGTGTGAGATAATTATATCTCTGGGGCACTGAGAATCCTAGCCAAGTGCCTTTACTGCTCTGAACCACTAGCTAATAACCTTTCCCCACCCCTAAGACTGCCTGTTAGGGCTGGAGTGTTTAATCACATGTTAACAAAGTGTGTGGGAAGGGCACTGGGAGCCAAGGACAGCATTTTTATTTAGAGCCATGGTTTAATGGGAGAAACAAATGTTTTCCAGATGCTAATCGGGTGTTGGGGAATCTGGGGTCCTCTCCTCTCCAGCAGGCCATGCTGAGCTTGGGGACCTTCAGGGTCTTCTCTAGGCTTACTTTTGGAGAGTTGACTCTCCTTGCTGTTAGGCATAAGCCAAAGTGGTTGACCGCGGGCTTTAGTCTTGTGACTCTGTCTACAGAAACTGGTCTGGCCCCAGGCCTTCTTTCAGAAATGTCTCAGTGATCCTTTATAGGGTGTCCTTTAATGCAGACCATGTGCTCTTTCCTGTAAGGGTCTCTCTCAGTGCTGATCAGTGGATCAGCAAAAGTGGGTTCTTAAAACCAAATATCATATCTCCCAGGTAAATGACTCTGGGGAGTGGGCATAGAGGGGGATCAGAGCTGAGGTGTTTGAAATGAGGTGCTAGTCCTAGTTCCAGCATGGTCATCAGCTATGGGTCCTTCTGTGGCATTCTGGAACATTCTGAAGAGGAGGAAATACAGTAGGACTTTCCTTTCCACTTAGTTTCAAGTCCTGATGTATAACCCTGGATACCACACTCAAAGCCTATTATTGTTGCTGCTCTTCTCAGGGGATCATGAATGTAATTTTAGGTTCACTGGGTCAGAAATTGTTCATTACCTTTTAAGTATCATATTACTTAAGAAATGGGGAGGGTACTGCTCAAGTAGCAACATCTGGAGACAAAGGAAACTTCAGTGCTTGGAGAGCTGAGGTTAGAACTCTGTAAAGGCCAAGCGTCTGAATTTCTCCATACTCCCTCCTATAGGTGGGAGACAACTGTAGGACCACACTTCATGAAAACAGAGGGATCCCATTGCTCAGCAACTTCACCTTGTGGGAAGTAACCGCTGGCTCAGGGTTTGGAAGGCTGGTCTGTCCTACTGTGTGAGTAAGCAAGCACCAGAGCACCTGGGTGCCTTGTACCATGGCACCAGTCCACACCCTGGTCTGGCTGACATGTGGTAAATGCTGCTTCCTTCCACCGGTTTTTAAACCACTTCAGATTCCTCAGAACAGTAGAGGTCTTCCAAACTCCAATGGGGTACGCACAACTTGCTTAGAAGTCATCTTGGCTTTTTCTATCATTGTTATCCTAGTGAGGTACAATCCCTACCTTGTGTTTTAAATGGCTTCCTGAAGGAGAGCAGGGAGGTGGAGAAAGTAACTCATGCTCATCAGAACAATTCTACTGGTTTGGACTTGAAGTTCCTTCAACCCAGGATACTTTCTCTACCCAAGCCTCCAAGACAAACCTTCTAGGAAGCCATGATTTTCTTTGTTGATATTAAGTTTCAAAATTGAAGACAAATCCAAACTCCTTTTGTTTTGCTTAACTACTTCTTGGGAACTATTTATATTTCAGACTTTCTCTCCTTCCTAGAGTAATGAGAACCATATATTTACTACTTGCTGTATGAAATAGTATTTCTCTAAATTGTCCCAATTTGCTTCTAACCTAAGTCAGATGGCACAGTGGTCGCCATCCAGGTTGACACACATCTGACTCAACCTCCTGGACTCCACAACTTCAACACCATTCACAGATATTATTTCTAGAAGGGTAATGGACCTTGTCATCACAGAACACTGCTCCAACTGGATGCTTAGCTCAGTCACTCCACATTCTGGACAGAGTCACCTTCTCTATTAATCCTCCTGCTCTTCCTCTGAACCCAATCTTTGCCCTCACTATGTCTTCCCTATCATTCACACCCTTGTAGGGTTCTCAGGTTAATGTCAGGCTTAACTTCCAGTTCTCAGGTTGGCCCCAGGGTCACATTGATGTTGCTCTGCACACAGTACCTGGGACTTCAGCAATGCCCAGCAATCTTTTAGTGACCTCTTGGTGACTCACTAGTTTGAAACCTCTGTACTGTTCTTCAGGTTCCTAAGACACCTAACCCCCACTTTCTGTGCTGAAATGACAGATAATTTGGTATGACTCTTATCATTCACTCTGCATTGGAGCCTATTTTGGATTTTATATTTGTTATAGAACTGTAGAATTTGAGAGCTTGGAAGGGATCCTTAGATATCACCTGGATCTATGGTTTGCAATTTATCAAGTTGTAGAATGTTTTATTCATATGAAATCTTACATGGAAGCCCAATATGTAAAAGAGGTGAAAGTGGTCCCCTTCGGCAGTAGCCCCTGCAGGTGGCTCCCAGGGGCCCTAGGCCTCTGCTAACAGCACTCTGAGCCAACAACCAGGACAACTCCTTTGTGTCCCAGAGGGAGAGACCAAGACTCAGAGGGGAGGTGCTTTGGTTGAGGTCACATGGCTAGTTGGTGGCTGATTGAGACTTGACCTCAGGGCTGCTGATGCCAGGTTTCTTTTTCTATCTTCCAATTAGTCCCAGAGGTAAGGAACTCCTTCTTCCTTTGTAAATCTTGTGTCTCCAACTGCGTCTTTGAAGTCAACCTTCCCCTTTTAGGCAATGCCTTCCAATAATCACTCATTTCCATTCTGGCATCCTTAGACCCTCCCCTTTCACTGGCCTCTTCTTTGCCATAAAGATTGTCCCAGTGTTTACAAGCCCTTACTTGGCCACTGCTGCCTTCCTTTCTGCCATCTTATTTTCTTCTCTCCCTTTCATGGCCTCACTTCTGGAGCAAGTGTCTTACACTGGCTCATTCCCACTCCTCTCCTTCTCTAAGACTCCAACTCCCACAAACAAGTCTTATAGAGTATGGCTCCAGAACACACAAATAACCCAACCACTTTTTAATCTCCACATGTGACTCTAGCCTAGGCCACCATCACCTCACACCTCAGTAATTGCCACTGATGATGCTTTACTGTGTGCCTGCTTCCGTGTTGGCATTGCTTCTACCTATTCTTTTCCTCACATCCAAGTGATCCTTCAAGAATGCAAAACAAACCAAATCAGCCTCCCTACCCAGCTCCATGTTCTTGTGACTTCTCATATTCAATGACTTCTCACAGTCTTGTAACAGAGACAAAGATCATTAAGGGGTCTACCAGGCCATGCCCATCTCCAGCCTCAACTCCCTGTCTCTCCCCGCATGCTCTGCCCTGACCACACTGGCCTCTCAGTTCTTCCATCCAAAGGCCTTGAAACACACTGTTGCCTTTGACTGGAACATTCTTCCTTACTCTTCACTTCAATAATGTATTTTCACCCTTCACTTCTCAGCTTAAATTTAATTCTTCAAAAAAGTTGCCAGTCTAACCGGTTATTAGCCCTACAATATACTTTTCCTTCTTAACACTTACCCTGTTTACAATGACTTATTCACTTGTTTAATGTCACTTCCACACAGATTATAAACTCCAATGAGATGATATCAATCTTTCTACTGCTATGTATCACCATCACTTAGCACCAAGCTGGGCATACTTTGAATGAATGTACAAGTAAACAGTTCTCTCTTGAAATTCTTTCTCCCATGGATTCCAGGCAAGTGCTGCTGTCTATTCCCTTAACATCTCTTCATTTGTTTCATTTACTTGTTCTTATTCTTCTGTGTGTCAGGTTCCCAAGGTTTGGCCCTTGGCCTTCTGACTCTATTCCTCTATGAACAACCCCTGTCCTATACCCTCATTAATAGCTCTTATACTGATAACCTCAAGTGTGTGCCTCCATCCCTGTTCACAGCTGCACCTTGGACCTCTATATCCTATTGCCTGCATAGTACCTGCAAGCCCCTCGGTTGGACCCCTGCTTCAAATTCTACTTCAACATCCTTACTGTCTTCAAACTTTGATGGCTCCTTCTTTTTAATCACCTCCATCTCCCCCCAAAAATATACTATAGTTCCTTTTTTTCTGTGCCCCCACCCCCTCAGGAACCATCTTCATCAGGCCTTCTCACTGCCTATAAATTCTCATCCTGGACTCATCCAACCACACAAGCCTTTTAACTCTTAGCTTTAAAAATGCTAGACCCTCACTGTCTCCTTCCCATAAGACCCAGTCTCAGTCTCCAGTCAGTTCTCACACTGTGTTTCCCACCAGGAATGTTGGTGGTCTTATCCCATGGTTGGCTAAGGCAGGGAGTGGGGTGGGGGTGAGTAGAGAGATGGTGGAAAGACCATAATTTATTAGGTATATATTATAGTTCTGGTACTGTGTCTAGGTATTTTATATGCACAGAGTAGATGCATCAATGTGGATATTCATAAGGATAATAGGAACCATTTCTACAGAGCTCTCCCAGCCTGCAGAATGTGTCCTCAAAGAAATGACAGATATACTAGAGGTGCCAGCTTCCCTCTCTGGGGGATAATCATATTCACCCTCCAACAGAGCCACCATACTCTCCTGAAATGTACTCTCAAGTGACTTCCTAGAGCTGGGAACTCCCCTGGTCCCTCCTGGTCTGCAACTTGGGCTATGCCTAAAAGCCGGAGTTGCAGGGTCCTCCATGTTATAAAGACCAGAGAAAGACTTGACAGACTTAGAGGGTTTGCTGGGGCCCATTTGCAAAAACTTGAGTGCTTGCTTTGTATGGTTCCAAAAGGAGAAGAGGGAAAGGCTTGGACTGCTGTTTAAAAATGTAATTAGCCCCGTATTTTAACAACATTTTGACAATAATTGCTTCCCAATGATGCCGAGAAATGTGCAGTACAGACTCCCTGGTGCCACTGTCAGAGTGAGTGATACTGAAGGCCCTGTGTACCCTGGAAATAGAAGTTGCAAGAGCTGGTCTGTTCTTAAGCCTTGTTTTCCCTTCTTTGGCTTGGAGATCATTCTCAAGGCTGGCATGGCTTCTGTTTAGACTTATCTATGGAGAATCTTTTTAAAAGAGTTGGGGTTTGCTCACACCATTGAGTCATTTCAGGAATGAAGGGTGAAATAAGATACTGTTTCACTGATGGAATGATTTTGAAACTAATTTTATTTGGGACTGGTCCTACTCAGAGCCTTCTGCATGCAGTGCTTTTCAGGGACCAAGGTGAGTTTACAGTTCTTATACCACAAAGTCAACAAGAAGAGTAAGTTCCACTTCCCAAAGCAGATCCTGAATGTTCCATGAGGCCTCATTCCCAAGGTCAATGTGAATCCCTGACAGAATATAACTTTAATCTTTGGACTCTGCTGAGATGCTGGTAACAGAACCAGCAGTTCGTTTATTTTTAGCAGTTAAACTATTTTTTCCCTTCATCCTTTGGTGGAGGAACATTTCCCAGGGACTATTGGTTTCCATTTTTAAGATAAAACTAAGATGGGTGATTGTGATAATTCATGTGTGAACTGTTCCTCTAATGCACCTGGCCCAGTCCTGGGTGAGTCACTCACCAAAGCCTAGGCCCTGGGGTCTGACCCAGGGAAAGGGAAGTCATAGGTATCTAGGCTGGAGCTGCTTTTGGAGGAGGTGACTGGCCACGTTCCAGGCTAAACACTGACGAATTCTGCAATAACTCAAGGTTGCACTTTAGGAATCTCTATTTCCCTTTACTAGGTGGGTAACTAGAGTTGCAGATAAGGACCAACATGTTTATTAGCTCCCAGGTTATTTTCTTACCTGTATCTTCTTATTCCAGGTCACATTTACCAGCAGGACCCAGGGACCCTCACATAGGTGTCTCATGTGACAGGGGGTGAGAGAGGCTGGGAAGAAACAGACTTTGGAGCCACCTCTAACCCCCCACCACCCCATATTTCACTGATGTAATGCACAGGGGCTTGAAATCCATGAGTCAGACCCTTACAGGAGTGCAGAATTGGAGACTGGCTTTAATGTTAAGACTCTTCCCCCTGCCTAGGAGCCATACTCAACCCAGGGCAGTCTTTTCTCACACAAGTCACCACCTGAGATTTATGTTTCTCTGACCTCTGCCTCAACCACAATGGGCCAAGCCATTGTGATTTCAGAACACAGCATCCCTTCCCGCACACCTGGAAAAGCCCCAGTCCCTGGGCTCGCCGTGCCTACTCACGCCAGCCTGGCCCCGCAGTTCTCTCCCTCGATGTCACCTCCAGCCACGTTTTCGGTGTTGACAGACTCGGTCTCACTTGTGGGCATGCTCACTATAAGAGTCAAAGGGATGCAAGGCATTGAGGGTGGGAAGGAAAAGGGAGAGAAGAGCATTAGTTTGCACAACACCCTATTTCAAGACTGTGTGCTGCTTGTGAGGATGAAAGCCTGAGCAGCATCTAATAGTGGGTACAGTGGTGCTGCTGTGAACAGTGCCATGGCCAAGTTTGGGGGTTTCCTTGACCAACATGCCTGATGCTTGTCTAGGGTAAGTTTTGCTGCCAAGGACACTCAAACTCATAGGATTTGGGAGGAAATATGGTGATAAGATCATTTGCTTCTTGAAAACAGTGACCACTGAATCCTTTTCTACCTTTTCCTACAATAGAAAAGTTTTCTATTTGCATCCACTACTAGCCATAAAAAGAAGAGCTTTCATGAAAATATTTTATTTTGCTTTTTTCCCCACCCATCAATTCTAAGGGGCTTCATCCCCAAATTTAGGGTCCAGCTTATTTGTAGAAAGGGTGTTTTTGTTGCCTCATGAACTACTATATGGATGTGGAAGAGTGCTCCCTGTCTTGTAGTGCATACTGGGTGTATCTAGGACCATACTTGAAATAGGGAGCTTGAAATAAATGGCTATTACCAGAATCATGTACTAAGATTCAAACTAGCACTACAGATACCAAGAATGAGGATCACAACTGTGGAATCCACCAATTAAATTTAAATGTGACTTGAAGATAGACTAAAGATAGGTTGGGATATTATTTCCCCTTCCAGTAAATCTGACGTTCCCATCCCAACAGGCTGACTTTGGATATAAACCATCTAATTCCACTGGTGCCAACCTGTCCAGTCAATCTACACTCTCTTCCCAAGGCAGCAGTGGGCTAGATTTCCAGAGCAGCAGGAGTCATCTAGCTTGCAACCCAGTGTGGTGGCTTAGAGAAGCCATTTATTATTATTCTTTATTCCAAATAAAAGTTTTACTCAAGAGAATTCTTCTTCTCCACCGTTTCTTACCCTTTTAATATGACACAAGTTTTATTTTTGGTAACCCTTGTTCTTCAGAGGGGTCATTATAGCATTGGTCCTGGTTCCATTCTTCTTGCAGAACAGAACTCCTCATGTGGTGAGAAAATCACTAACCCTCAGCAGCCACAGAATTTTCAGTTAATGAGGGTATGGTATCAGGTGATGTGGCACCATGTGACAAATCGCCATGGGGCCACCACAGCCCAGGAAAAGCTTCTACTGGTTATATGGATAATGTTGTTGGATGGAAAATTTCCAAGGTTCTTTTATTTTGGATGAAGACAAGATGGGTGGGTGAGAAGACACTCCTTTCAGGAACATGCAAGATACAAATAGGAACCCATGACTTACCATATGTTTGACCTCTCCACCCTAGGATTCACTTTTAATACAGTTGGGTAAAAAGAAATCTGGATGCCATTTCAAAGAAGGTTGTCATTGGATGAGACTTTAGATATTACCCAGCTATAACTTGTTCCCTTCACTTTACAAAACAGGGAAGGGAAGATTCTCACATTCACACAGTGGGTTTGGAGTAGGACTTGGTTGGAAGCACAAGTATCATGACCCCCTTCGCCATGCTCATCTCAATTGTCCCTTATTGGCCAACTCCTCACTCTACACCGTAAGACAGGGCTCTTATAGCCAAATAAGGCTCTGGAAGCATCCAAGGAGCGTGGTGAATAGCCAAATGATGGTGTTCAATTTTATAGCATTTAGACTCCCTTTGTAGCCTGATGTCTGAGGGAGCTGGTATGTGAGGCCAGACCTTAGGGATGGTTTTAGCACTGTGAGCAAGGAAGACAGCACTTTCAGAGCTCGTCAGGTTCCTTGTTACATCCATACATACATTCATACAATTGAAGAGCCTTCATACAGTTGAAGAGCCTTCACTCTTTCACTTCATCTATCTCTGGCCCTTTCTGACCTAAGGTTACTTTAATTCTTCAGGCATCATTCTTTAAAGTTATAGAGCTCTGACTTTGAGACACTTTGCTCCCAGAGAGCCCCTTTTGTGCTACTGGAGTAGTATGATGGGGATGGTGCTAGGCTTGGAAAGACAACCAAGTTAGAAGTGGGTATGCCTGGGCTTTAAGGAGGAACCATATCATCTTCTAAATCAAGGAACTGCCTGTATCAGTATCAAGTTGGCATTTACAGTGACCTTAATCTTGGGTGGTACTATCCAAAGGAAGGGTTCCATAAAGGAATAGCTGCTGCAATCAGCTTTGCTGTTTGTTTTGTCATGTATAAAGTCATGTTTTCTGACTTTATACATATTAAGAGATGATAAGGCACTCACTGGCTTTGAGTGGGGAAGGTTACCATACCCTTACACACACACACACACACACACACACACACACACACACACACACAGACACACACATACAGGACCACTGTATCACAAGCCATCAAGAAAAATACCCTCCCCTCCAGTCTGGTATGTACCAATGCATATTTACACACATAGAACACAGGGGAACATTACCATGGGTTTCTGTGGAGTGACTAAACCAAGCAAACTTCCCTTTCTTCTGATCAAGCAAGCCCGCTGGAGTGCTTCCTTTCACAGACAAGATGGAGTCAAGACCAGGAACAAGACATCAACAGAGAGCATGCAGTCAGCCACGGGCAAAAGAAAGAAACAAGGAACTCAGCTTTCACATAGAACATCCATTTTAATCCCTGAACATAAACTAAGAAAATTGTAAAAAGCCATAAATCAAAAACACACAAGAAAACATAACAAAATAGAACCAAAACCCCAAATTACATGAATTAATGACACAAAACAAAAGATGGACCCTGACGAGAAGGAATTACTCCAGAAGAAGCTTCAGTCTACACTGGTCTATCTAGTTAGTGGCTTTGAGGGAAGAGTTTCCTAGGAGACACTGTCACCCATCCCTGCTACCTCTCTAGGGAGGTGCCTCTTTTACAGGCTCCACTGGGGTAACTGCTAAAATCAAACTACAGCATTGGTGTGCCCTATCAATCTTACCCAATAGCCAGGTGACTTGACCTCTTCCCCACCTGTAGTGGATCTACCCCTCTCTTACTACTTACACCCAGATCATGTCACTTGCAGATGGAAAACAATCCATGGATCTATTTGTTCCTTTGTCCAATTCAACTACTCAGTCCCATTCAATAAAGATCCACCAAGTGCTTCAGGCCTGATCATATTCAACACATACATATCTGCTTTCAATCAGTTTAAACAGGCAAAGAAGTTGCTCAGTTGCTTGTCAATGGGTGGTCTTTGGAGGAGTTTGGTGTATAAGGGAGAAGAGTTGTGTAAGCTTCTTTTGGCTCTGGGCTCTGGTTGAAGAAGAAGGTACTAAGGAGATTGTAAAAACACTGATTGCCACAAATGGAAGAGGGGGAGTTCTGTATTCTGCAACAGACTTTGAGTTCTGGATGTCAAATGCTTTATCTAATTCCAGAGAAAGAGAATTTTCCCATTCTGACAAAATTAGTGTTGACTGCACCTCTGCCAGGCCTCTATGGAGATTGCTGGGGACCAGTGGTGAGTGAGGCTTAGTCACAACTTATTAATGAGGTGGAAAATCTGTTACCACTCAGGAGAGGAAGCATGTGCCCTGATGAGGAATGGGTAGGTAGTCCCATCAGTTCCAGGAAAGGGCATGAAGAGGACGGTCAATCCAAGTTTTTAGGTGCTTCTTTATTTTATCCACTTCCCCTGGAACTTGGATCACATTCAATGGCTGTCCTTGAATGTTGCTTGTTAGTGAGAATTCTGAAGACTGGTTCATGATTGAAAAGTGTCAGGCTTATTTTTAACCTAGGTAAAGGGCCATGTCCCAAACACACATCTTTAAAACACAAAGCTTAGAATAAGCAGACACTTTACAACAGAAGCATTTTTTCTCACTTCTCAACAATCCTATATAAGAAAAGCTCTGAAGGTTAGGAGCTGAAATGAATGACTTGGTTCCAATTGCTTTCTAGCAGAAGATATGTCTCAATTTATAATGATAATATTCACTGAAGTAAGCATCTTATAATGAGCGGTCTTTTGTTTGGAGGTGTAAAGGGGTCAACATAGTCTGCCAGTCACCAAGTTTGTTCACACAGTTGTCTTGGGAAACAAGAGACACTTGGTCAGTGAAGGAAAGCCCAGAACTTTGGGACCTGTTATACAGAAGCATTATTCAGCTTCTGGCTTTGGTATCAGTACTGTCCCATATTGTTTAATTTCAGAAATAACTGCATGATAACTTTTAAAACAATAGAGCTTGATAAATACATGGTCACTCAGTGTATAACTGAATTTGACCAGGGCTGGTATCTCATATGGGCAAAGTTGGCAGCCACCTGTTTGGCAAGTTATATGAAGAGCATCTAAATCCTCTCCCTTAAGAGTGTTCAGTAGTGTCTGCTAGGTCTGCTCTGTTGGGTAAAGTCATATATCTGAAGGTTCCTTGCTGAAATGAAAATATCTCACTTGGAAGGAGCAATACATTAACATATTAATATTAGCACCTATTTGTGACAGTTTATCCTGTAAATACCTAAGAGAATAAGATGGGTGAAAATGCAGTTTGTGTTTCTATTTCTAAGGGCTTAGACAGCAGGATCACAGTTGATTCTTTAAGGGATTTGTTGCCCTAGAGAGAGAGAGAGAGAGAGACTTGGATTCCTTCTTGAAATCTGAGTGCCCGAACTGTTGAAAGTTGAGAATTATAATTGTTAGATATTTATTCTATGGATGAGCTGGAGACTCTGACTCTTCTTTGGCCATTCAGACAGTGAATTGGTGGGAAACTAAGGCAGAAAGATGGCAAAGAACCCTGGTGCCTGAGGGCACCTCTCCTCTAAAGGCAACCCTCTTGATGCCTTGTGAAGTGAAGCTTGATGTCTGCTCATCTGCAATGTCATAACAACATACCCTCTGTGAAATAAAATGTACTTTTTGAATGGATTTAGTAAGGAGAATACTGAGAAAGAATGTGGGAGAGAAAGCTAGTTTTATAACTTTCTAATT